CGATAAGAGTTCCTACTTCCAATTACAGACTTTTACACCATTTTAATCAGTTTTAAGTCACGGTTTTGTACAGCAAATGATTATATAGTGTAGACCTAAAAATGAGGGTGGTTTTGTAGGGTAAAAATCATCACCCTGGAACATGATAGCCAAGAATGAAAGCTTGGATACACTAAATAAAATTACAGAAATATTCCTTTATATCTTTTGGGCTTATATTTTAGGCCACTGTGTGGAATTTATAAGCAGACTTAAGACTTGCATATCAACATGACCTCACCTACGTAAATATTTATTCAAACATTTACACACTTCAGAGAGGATTCCAGATCAGAAACTGAAGGAAATTACTATAAAAGGAAAACCATCCAAGCAGTTCAGGTTTTTTTAAACTGCAAAGCCTCAAAGACTTCACCTTACAACAAGGCTACAACCTCCATGCAAGCTGAAAGCTGTTGTTTGATTTATTCTTATGTTTTACAAAATCTCAAACTAGGAATCCTTAATGGCCTTTACTCAAAAGTACGATAGATAAATTTTCTGAACTAAATTTGCTCAGTTCAGTACCAGTACAGGTTTTGGATTAGTATTAGCAAATCCAGATTAATTGAGGAAAAGAACCCAAAACTGTTAGTTTTATCTTCTTTCAGTATAGCATAAACACTTTCTGCTATTAAGACCAGAAACTAAGGAAAAAGAAAAAATCCAAAGATCACCAAAATACAAATATTAGCCCCTCAGTTCATATTTGGTAGTAGGCGGTCGTTACCTGCCAACTATGGGCTATCACCTCCAATTAAAGTGAATTAGTTTCCCCCTATCATCCTAGCACAGCACTCCTAAGGACTCACTTATCTCCTGACCTCTCACATTTTTTTTTTGCCTTTTAAGTTAATCAGTAACCAGAGACTTCTACCAAACAGTTTGTAGAACTGATTTCAAGATCCCGTGGCACACAAAGCATTATGTGATTCTGGATGTGGTTACAAACATTAGCCATTTATATAGCAAATACCCTCCTTTCACAATT